GTCCAATATCCTCTGGTATTTCGTCTCATTTCGGGCTACACGGGTGAAAGACTGAACCCGGGCTTGAGACGGAAAGATTGGATATTGCGTGCTTTGTTGTTGGCGGCAGTAACAAGTTTTTGGCCTCACAAAGTAGGTTCTAGGGTTGAAATCTATTGGGCAAGATGGAAATTCATGCTGATTTCTAATTCTGACCAGGCCAAAGACTTGGTAAAAAAATGTGTGGAAGGCGGGGGCTGTATGTCTCCTTTTCAACCGCTGGTTTACATCCGGGATCTTGAATAAATCGACTGTCAATAAGTCAAGAAAAGTTAAATGTGACGATTTATGCGGAGAAAGCGATGGATGGATGGATGGATGGATGGATAATCTTGTCCCGAAATTCCACCTGATGTAAATTGACCTATCTTCGCCAGTCAGCAGTCTAAGTCATATTCCAAGAGCACACTTCCATCAACGATCATTTGAGGGAGTGAGCGGATTTTCCTTTCTATCAATCTGCTTGGTGAAACTACGTTCACGATTAAAGAATCCATGACATGAGGACTTTATCATCTTGAAAGTAACGCCGAGAGCTCAAACAGCCTACTTTTAACGATTTAAGAGGCCCTGCGCCTAAGAAACGACTAAAAATAAAATCAGCCGATTTTTATCTCCCAAGTAGAGGTTACCGAATACTATTCAAAAATGAATTTCTTTTGTTTCAGTTTCGCTTTAAACCAAAAATATCGAGCCGCAAACTTTTTCCGTCTGATAGCAGCAAAATCAGGCCTAAAATAAGCTCTCGCAAAAAAACGGTTCAGAAATCACTATCGCAACGCAAAACAACGAGAAAGCCACACAGTGATGAAGAAAAAGGCCTTTTAATGCAATATCATTCGATAAACATCAAAAAAACTGCCGAAGGGAATAAAAAATAAATTTTCAAATATTGCATATTAAATTAGATGGAACGTTGGAGTTGATTTTAAAATAATGATTTCTCAAAAGTCCAACACTGCTGAAAGTAATCACAGTGGTGAATCAGACATTGGAGGGATATACATTACGATTCTGGAAAAACATTTTTCGGCCAGACTATATTGACAGTTGTGGTAAAACGTGCAGCCGGCTACTTTCTGTGAGGTGGATTTTCCCTCTCTTTCCTCCCTCTCTGTTTTTAGCTCGTGAGATTATCAACCTGTTTTATCAAATAAATAAACTTATCGAGGCTAAGGAAGTCCAGATATAAGACGAACTATTCCAGCAAAGGTAAGGAAACGTCCGGCATTTTGATTTAAAGAAAGAAAGAAACTGAGAGGGAGGAAAGGGAGCGAAAATTTACGTTAACTCTCTTAAAACAGTAAGCCAAGAGGCACGGCCTCGTGTTTCGCAGAATTGTAGTGAAGTCCCGGATGATAGGAAGACCCTTACCGGAAGTTGATTGCGTAACAGAGCCTCTTTAACTTGGACTTGTTGGATGCTCTTCAAGTTGAACATACCCATCGTTACAGGTTATTTTTTTGCTTGTTTCTTTGCTTTTTTTTTTTTTTTTTGTTGGCTTGTTTTTGCAACATCTTATATTTTTATCATTTACTGCGCGTTCTAGGTTTGCATCTTAAACAGGAATATTGGACGCAATTTATGGACTTTATTCTTGCTTATCTTGCCTCAGTCTTTTCTCATTCGGAACAGTCTGTAATTGGCAAGAATTTAAGGGCGCGTTTTACTCAGAATCTTAAAAATTACAGGGACAGCGCTGTGCGAGGAGATAGGCAAATCGAACTCCACGTGACAGAATGATTAAAACATGTGTTTAATCACAGTTCAAAGTTCAAAGTTCACGAGTTACACTAGTGGCGATGGTAGATTGCAGATCCAAAAATAACGACTTGAAGGGAATAGTAGCGACGAAACAAAGTTCGTAGTTGCGGCGCAAATGTAGAAATGCAGAACGTGAGATAGCACAATAAGATGGAGGACATTATTAGAGTCAGTGTAGCGGATCGAAAATTCTTGTTTTCTTATTGGCTACTGTACGAAACCAATTACGGAGTGTTCATTTATTTTCAATCCTCTTCTTCCTTCTTGTGTTAGTTTGGATATCTATTTCAGTAGATTTCTCGCTTGTCTCCCTCTTGTCTTACAGGCGACACGCCCAATAAGTTTAAGAGGTGAAAAAGGGACTTTTTTTAAGGTAAAACTCTCGTAGCTTGAATTTAGCTAGCCAATTGCAGTTTTCATACGCTGTGTTAGTTTGGATAATTCAGTAGATTTTTCTCTCCTCTCCCTCTTAGGTTACAGGTGGCGCGCCCACGTTTATGAGGTGAAGAGAGAGATTTTTTAAAGTGAAGAAATCGTAGCTTGAATCGACCATGTTTTAGCTAGCCAATTGCATTTTCCATACGCTGTGTTAGTTTGGATAATTCAGTAGATTTTTCTCTCCTCTCACTCTTGGCTTACAGGCGGTGCGCCGAAGTTTAGTAGGCGAAGAGAGGTATTTTTTAAAGTGAAAAGACTCGTAGCTTGAATCGATCATGTTTTAGCTATCTAATTGCAGTTTTCATACGCTGTGTTATCTAGGATAATTCCGTAGATCGTTCTCTCCTCTCCCTCATGGCTTACAGGCGACGCGCCCAAGTTTAAGAGGAGAAGGGAGATTTTTTACAGTGAAAAATTCATAGTTTAAATCTATAGTGTTTTAGTTAGTCATTGCAGTTTTTTTTACAGTTTTCTTTTTTGTGGTAATCGTATTTTTCTGCTCTATGACTCTCACTCTGGATAATATTGCGTGTGATGTGTGTTTGAGGTACACAGAAAACCAGAAAAAGTTAGTTTCGTCCGCGGGCGGTAATAATTTAATTTCGGCAGTTTAAGGTTTACCCTGTGTACAGGCTATTTAAGGTTAATTTTTTCGAATAATGTCTAAATCGTTGTGAACTGTGATAGTTTTTTTGTGCGTGTAAATATCTCTCGGAAAAACAATTTGAGGTGACCAATCGATCAAATAGGACCATTAGGCCAGATTTATAGCGATGTATCTAAATTTTCCTCGTTGTAATGTTGAAACCGAACAAACCTCGCGTATTCGCTTTGGCGGGTCATCTCCCTGAAAAACAACGTTATCTTTGGTCATTTTTTTGCAGGCAAGTCTGTATTCAAAAATAAAATGATAGTTTCCTGAATTGTTTTGATCGTTCTTATTTATTGTTTATTCAGTGGGTCGGCTAAAATTAAAGACGAATCTTTAATGCAGAATTTTTTAAGCCTATTTGATATTACTTGTTAATATATAAACACCAATGAAATATCAGGTGAGCTTTCGCGCGAAAACTTGATATCTCCACGTGTGAAAATAACATGTTATCTTCACATGTGAAAATATCACCGTTGCTATGGCTACATAATAGATTGCGCCTTTCACACCAAAAAACTATTAAAGTGAAATGGTTTGGTAGTTCATTGGTGTTTATATAATAAAAAGAACATTATATGGCCGCTTGGAGATACGAAATTTCTCTTCTCGTGTTGAAAAAATATTTCACGAGTGAGCGCAGCGAACGAGTGAAATATTTTTCAACACTCGGAGAGAAATTTCGTATCTCCAAGCGGCCATGTAATATCCTCTATGTATGCTTTCGACAGTGCACGTGAATAACAACTACGTTGGCTGTCCACTTAGGATAAACACGATAAGTGTCAAAGATAAAAGATTGCTCATTAAGATGAACATCGATGACAGCTTTAAGACTCTACTCAGGGTCTCTTAATGTAGTTTTACCCTTGGTTTAAAACAATAGACTTAGCACGTCGCTATCCCCCGAAAATCGAGCCTGCAGCTTGTAATGGGGTAGCGTAGGGTAGGTTCGAACTGAAATATGATTATAATTAAAAATACAGTATAGCTTAGGTATAGCTTTTACGTACATCGGCATGTAACAGACATAAAAACCGACACTTATATAAGCTACTAAAAAGATTTCCAGAAAGGCTTAATAGACATAACTAACAACTCATAGCATACAAAGATGCTGAGAACATTACATTCATAGCGCCAGCATTGTAGAAACTTAACTGAATCTATATTAGTAACACGTATTGAACAACGTCTGAACATATCTGGACTTATGACAACAATTCAACGAAAGTCAGACAATTGGCATCACAGCGTGACAATAGTAAGACATGAACACTGAAAACTAGTTACGCGGCAATCATAGCTACCCGCGGGAGGGAATCTCTTATGAAAAAGACGGGCATGCTCGTCGACATTTTTGAAATTGACCCCTAAAGGAGACCAATCTGGGCGTGGCTCACGCAGTTTTTGACCCCTAAAAGAGACCAATCTGAGTTAAAAATAGACTTTATTTTGCATGCAACCCTAAACGAGATCTTGAAGGCTAAAAATATTGGCAATTTTTCCTCAACAACCTCAGCGAGACCAAAATCTGAAATTTACACCCCTAAGCGAGACGACGAACATCCCCGTCTGTTTCATATTGGAGTCCCTTCCCCCGCCGTAGCCAACAATGACGGTAAAAAACTTACTTAGGTGACGACTCGCACAGAAGGCATCAGTAAGTATAATCCAAAGGCCTTCAAAAAAGTAGGTTCTAGCTGATCCTATGATCGTAGCGGTTGCGGGATAACTAAAACTAAGGTTGTAACTTGTCGCCTTTTATAACAAGCGCATAAGTGATTATGCCTAGGGCGTTGCTAGAAATATGTAATTCTCATGTAGGAAGAGTTACTTCGTGTCCTAAACACGAATTTATCTTTAAATGAGCATAAAACTGCAAATTCCTAACTAATGCTTAATACAGTTTAAGCACGTTCTATTGAAATTAGCTATTAATTGTTCCTTTGAAAATGTCGTACAAACAGGGGGCGTTTCAAAATGTAACACGTCCCCCTTTTTTTATCTATCTAGTTATGTTGTTTAAGCTCCTTGACTAAATGGGTCACATTATCTTGAAACGCTTTGGAAGGCGTATGAAATGATAAATTTGATCAGTAGTGGACTATTCTCGCCTCCGGCGTTGAAGCCGGGAGACTTTTATAGTGACTCCGGCTGATTTTTGGTAACTCTCAAGTAACGCATTCCGTACGTATCGAGTTGGGACCCCCGTTAGGTCTTTAGGAACCAGCACTTGGGAGTAAGTTGTGCCTTCTCCCTTTTTCTTATTCCCGTTCCTTTGTATCTGTACGTTGTAGTACGGCTGGTTCTCCCGGTTGACCATGCCCTGCATGTCGATGCGAAAATTCTTCTCAGAAAGCAACGTTTTCTGTTTGGTGGTCAGGAAAGTATTGTTCCACCTTGAGATTATCTTCTTGATGTCATTCCGGAACTGTGTCCCTTCTCCGGCTATCTTTGTATCAGGATTAATGTAAAAATCGACCTGCCGCCTGTTCCCAAGGTCCACGCAACGACACAAGACGTGTTCTTGCACCTGCCGCTTGGTCCTTAACCCGTGGCTGCACTGGCACTCGAACCCCTCGACCACGCCACAGTAGTCCCAGGAGTCTTTGGTTTTACACCAGTAGTAGTTCTCGCCATGTAGGTCACAAGAGTGGTCGTCTCGACAGGAAACGTCCTTATAGGTTACATCAGGCCAAAGAGAGCAGTAGTCCCGGCCCTTACTTGTGTAGCAAAAGTAGTACCCTTTTTGGCTGTCGTATTCGCAGTTGTCTCTGCACAACTCTTTGTACTTTGAACTCCTGAAAAACGACGTCTTGGGAGTCTGGAGGCCGCAGTAGCCTGAGCCACCCTTCTCTAAGTTGCACCAGTAGTAACTCTTATCGTGCTTGGTGCAGGGGTGAGTGGCCTCGCACGGGTTATTTTGGTAATCCGTATTCGGTCTTGGCGAGCAGTAGTCCCAACCTTTCCTCGTGTGGCACCAGTAGTATTTATATCCCCTGGTAGCACACTGATCATAGCACAGTGCTCCGTATGTGGAAGTGATATAATTTGTGTTGTTCCACACCGGGCCAAACTCATCCCAGCGGTTAAAGAAATAATTGTTGGTGTGACACCAATAGTAAACAATTACTATGGCGACGAACAAAAGCAATTTGCTTATTGGTACTCTCCACTGTGGCATGTTTCTGAAACGCAAAGTTAATTCATTGTTTTATTATATGGCTGAACTGACCCATGGTGCAAAATAGCATTCTTATTGGTTACCTTAACGGTCCATATTTCACTGTACGGACCCTCTTACATTGACCGCTCGCGAGCTGATTTCACTTCAAGTTGGGTTCTTGAAAATATGTTGAAAAGGAAACATTTTGGCATTAAGTAAAAATTTTTTTCCTTGTTGTCTGACCAAAAGTAATGGAATAAATATTTTCTCGGTAGGAAACTCACGCCAGTTAAATGACATCTACGCATGCACCAAGAAAACTGAGGACGACAAAGACCCCTTAGTTTCTAAATTCTAACTTGCCATGACGCACAGCATTTAGAATTGTCCCCGTTTGTCTGCCGACGTTAGTGAGCTCTTAACATTTACGATGTTCAGCAGTATTCAATTACATGAAGTAACGGTTGCAGTCAATGAAGAAAACATGGCTTTTTGAATTTGCATGGAAGAAATTTCTTTTTATTTAGGTGATCTTTCACTGGCATACTTGCTCTTGTGGTGGTTTTGGCTGTTTCAGGTGACAGTCGCAGAACCGGTTCATTTGAGAGGCCCTGTTAGGGGGCGTTTAGTTATCCCTTATCCCTATATTTCTAGTGAGCACATTTATCCTCTATCCCTAAAAGTATTCCGGTTGAATTTTTACTTTCTCACACGTGAAAGACAGTAAGACCCTGCATGAACGTCTAGAGAGACATCACAGATGAAATAGATATCTAGGTCATGTTTATATTGGAAGATGACTAAAGCAGGTAATTAAGCCGACAACCACTCGTTATATTATTTTTATACTATATCTCCTAAAACGTTCTTCTTCTTCGATAACATTGTTACCAACAAACTTGTTCAGCTCTTTAAAAGTAAATACTTGAGACTGTTTCTTCTTCAGCATACATGATTCACATTGTAGCACATCGCGGGTTACCTATGAAAAATGTTGGGGATACTTTCTGGCCGTAATAAGGTAGATAAGTAAGAAGCTTTTCTACCAAAATCAATGCCTGTCGGGATCAGAAAAAGCCTGTTTATTTAAGTCCTTAGATGTGCAAGTTTATTATAGAGCTATTGAAAAAATGGTACTTCACTGAGTTTAAACGTAAGTTTTATCAGAAAGAAAAATCACCATTACAAAGAAACTCGAGATACACAAAGGACGTATGCGACGCGCCTTGTCGCAAACCTATTGCGTTTAAAATACTCATATTAACTAAAAAAATCGTTTCAGTTGCAACTCACAGTACGTGCTTTCTTTGAGGAGCAGATTCACTTTTGAACTGGGAAGCTTTTGTTGACCAAATTGACTTTCATTGGTGTTTACGCCGACAATTTGCACTAAAATCGCAATGAAATCGCAGCTGGTTGGAATTTCGGCAAGACAAGTATTGCATTGAGTTCCTGCGACAAAAGTCGCCTATGTAAAATGGCCTTAATACAGCGGATTCTTTACCAGCGGCGTATAAAACCGTAATCCATTACGTACCACTTTTGACCAAAAGGCTACAATTGTTATATTCCTAGATAGATTAAGAAACACGTTCGCTTCTCCTTTTCCTTTCCTAAAATATGAAAACTAACTGTCTAACCTGAAGGTAGACTTCTGAAGAAAAAGAGAGGCTGCTCGCAGTCTAACCTGAAGGTCATTGTTTGCGTGACCAAAGTAGGCTGAGTTCAGTAATTTGTTGCAGAGATTTCTGTGGGGTGTAGCTGGGCAGGCGACAACATACAGTGAAGTATTTTGGATCAAATTTGATCAATCTTCTTTACGAGTGCGTGAGACAAAAACTTCTTGAGTGTAAATGCACATTATTTAGTTAAATATAGCAAGTGATGAGTCATTAGGGAACTTAAGAACGACGACGACGTCTGTTGACTGGAAAAAAAACTGGAACGAGAACGTCTGTTTCGGCGGGAAAAAGGAAACTTTTAAAGTTTCCTTTTTTTTTTAATAATGTGGGGTGAATGGGTCCACGGATCGGCGGTAATTCATTTTTTCATGCTACAACGCTACTTTCTATATACCACGAAAATTTTCTAAAGTAACACTGATTCGGATTTGAACAAAAATTAAGTCGGATCGACGGATCAGGCCTAAAAATACCACGGATCGGCGGATTTGCATACCCCTATTCACCCCCCTCCTAAAGATGCAGTCGGTCGGTAGGTCGATAACGACGATACTGAATGTAAACACAAATGTAAAACTGTGATGTTCGGTCGCAACAAAGTTTTTCGCAATGGCGTCTTTTAAAACAATGCAAGATCTCATTTTTTAAGCCGTAATTCTAATTTCATTGACGATGAAGAATTTTTGTGTTGTCTGACCTTTTCGAGGGGAAAAACACCTGCTTTCCGTACGAAGATTGTTCAACCTGAATAAGATGACCGAGTCCGAGTGTCTGTCAGAGTTAAGATTTGGAAGCGGAGACATTCTGATAAGATAGCTGTTTTCCATATAAAGATAATTTCGTCTATATTAAAGGAATATGGTTTGCCTTACCTAAATACGTACAAACCAGTCATTGTTGTCACTAAATCTGCCCCGACCTTTCAAGAGTCCTTGTGGCTGTCCATGTATTTGCCATGAACCTTTGAAATGCAGTTTTCGTATTAGAGTTTCTGAGTGTAATTCTTTAGTTCTCTTTTGTGTTTTCTCAATTATTACACTTTGTTTCCTTGGTTAATGAAAATCCTCATACATGACATGCCTAGGATGGACAATTGTTTTTGATACATCTCATAATGAGTTCAACGAACACTGCAAATGTAATAGAACGCGTGTAAAACAGCAAAACATCTTTAATTATCTATTTGTAACTAAATCTCCTATAACTAATTTGTCGAACAGATGCTTTGGCTTCGAGTGTGACATTCTTGAACGCAACGTCGAACGCAACTGATATAAATGATTTCGCAATAAATTAACCCTACCAAAACATGGACCACTGTTTCAAGTTTCTCACCCTTAAGATATTTCCCAGTTCATTTTTTCTGGCATGTCCTTGTATCAAATAAAATAATCGGGATTTAATACCAAACAATTGCAGTACTGCTGAATAACTTTTTAACTCTATAGAAATATGTATCTCGCAATAGAGCGGTTTTCACTTGACTGTCGAATTGGGATTGGTTTTGGTTTTACTACGTCCTTTGGTTGGCTAGTGTATTTACTTTGGTTTTGGTTCTACGACAGTCAAGTGAAAACCGCTCTAACCTTCGCGAAACTCGGTTTTGTAACGGCACTCAAGTTAAGCCCTGTCGGTCGGGGTTACGAACTGGACGGGTGACCAACCGCGAATATCGTGTTTAAGGTCCATACGTTGTTCTTTCTTTTCCTCTTCTTCTTTTTTGCGTATTATGTAGTATTATTGTTAACAGTGTATTGAAAAGCAGATTTAGTATTATTTCGCCGCCCGCATTTAGAAAAAGACAAAAACAAAGAACAAATATGGCCCGGTGCAGTTCGCCTGAAAATTATTATTATTCGGGCCGTAATACGGAGCTGAAGCTTTGCAGACTTTGATCTATATATCTGCGGGGAAACCGGCAAACTAAGAAATCTGGGTTTTCGACAGTGTAAAACGATCAGAATTCCTTTGATTCCAATCTCCTGTTCCTCTGTCTGTTGTTGTCGGCGTTGCCTTCGCTGTGCTCATCGATGTTCCTTCTACTCCACGGTTTCTTGTTGACGTCTTCTCCTTCGTTGTTCACGCTGAATTTGAAGTCGGCGTTCTCGCTCTAGAGGAGTTTCGGTGGAAAATCTTCCCGGACGAGGATTTGGAGCCACTTGTTGTGCTTGTGTACGACACAAT